AATAAGATAAAATTTTAAATAAGGTTTTAAATAATTTTATAAATTTAATAAAAGAGAGATGTGAATTAATAATTGAAAATAATGGAAAAAGAATTAATTATTAATCATATATTAATAAAATCTCTAAATTTTTAGCTTTATTTTGATATGTTTTTATTAATTTCTATATAGTGGTTTTTGAGTAATGAATAAATAAAAAATTTCAAAATTTTTTGCATCACATTGTATATTTATATTAAATCTATTATATCTTGTCATATATTGTTTTTATATTGAAAAAAGATATAAATAGAAAATTAATGAAAGAAAAACACTTTATTTAAAAGAATTAATATAATATATTAAATTTTTTAAGGATATATAAAATTGGTAAAGTTTTAAAATTTATAATATTAAGTAAAAGAAGCAACAGTAATTTGTTTTGTATATATTGAAATATTTATTTTTAATAAAAAAGAAGTTTGATTCTTTTTACAATTTTTAAATAAAACTGAAAATCTTTATACATATATTTAAGTTATAATAATTTTATATATAATAAATATAAATTATATAAGTAAATAAATTATAAAAAAAGATATTATATTTAGTAAAACTGTTATCTATACAGTATATGTTAACATAAAAACAAATACTTTGATAAAAATAAGAGAATAAAAATAAATAAATAAAATAGAAAATATTCTAGAGTAACAATAATATAAAAAGTCAATACTACAGTAAATAATAACAAAATTAATAATATAAAGATTATTTTATAATAGACAATATTTCAAGAATAAATGTTAATAAAAATTGGACAAGAGATAATAAAGATCTTGGGTGAAAATTAAGTGAAACAATACTGTATACATAAATTTGTAGTAAAATTTTTACAACTAAAATTTTTAACTATAAATTAAAATTATTAACTAATTATTAATAAAACTCAAATATTTAATTAATTATTTTATTAAAATATAATAAAAAATATAATTCTGATTGTTTTTGTTTTATATTGTATATTTAAATATATAATAATTCTTAAAAAAAATTATATTTTGTAATGGTTTTATATAAAACATTTAAATTTCCAATCTAAATTAATTTTTGTCAATTAATAAATATATTGTATTTATAATAATAAATTCAATGTTTAGCAGAATTTTTGTTAAATTTAAATAAAATCCTATCATTTAATTTAACAATTTATATTTATTAAAATTACATATTATAATATAATTAATTAAAATAAATATGTTTCCTAATTTATTAAGATTAATTTACACAATAAAATAAAAACTTTTCAAAAAATTATAATTATAAATTAATGTTTATAATTTTGAAATTTAATTTTTTGTTCGGTTTATTGTATATAGATTTGGTAGCTTATACTTACTTAATACGCAAAAATAGATATAATTAGTAAAGTAAAAAGTTTTAAAAATAATTTCGGATTTTTTCGAAAACCCGTATACCAGATTTTCTTTTATTGAGTGAGCTGGGACCCAGAAAATTTTTTATGATTGTAACTACTTTCAATTAATGCTTCTATCATCAACATATTGTCACGGGGCAATTGGCGAGTCTGTCGCTAATGCCAACAGAAATTCGCGTAACCGTTACTAGTGATTTAAGGTAACAAATAGGTGATTTGAGGCGCACGATTTGACCGAGTTCTTCACACTTCTCGCACACACCTTTTCACCTTTTCACCTTTATTACCAATATTTTGCTTACTCATTTATACATTTCCCATCGTTACATAAAATAAACTAATTATGCTAATTATAGAATTATACTTTAAGCCTTATTACATAACGGTTACATAAACAACCACCATTATGTCATTGTCGTTATTATATTGACTGGTCGTGATCTCGCAGATCAATCACGTGACCAATGACAATATTATCGTTCGCGACATGGCGCATACAATCTCCCATTTTTGTATTACTCTCCTATTGTGCCTCTTTTACAGTGTTTGAGGTAACATATCGTGGTACGTGATGTAAGTACACCAGCATCACTTCTTTATTTTACCCCTTGTAATAGACTATTTGTACATAGTTTCTTTTATTGAGAGTTGACTGTATCCACTCCCCATCACTTTTCGTTTACATCCTTTTTATCACGCTACCTCCAGTACCATGATAGGAACTGCTCCTTCGTGGTACTATCGCGGCGTTTAGTCACGTGACTGGAATTGCGTCACCATTTTACTCTCTGACAATATCTAAAAAATTATACTGATAGTGCAACTTGCTTATTTTCTTAAATGATAGCCAGGCTTTCTATTCTAGAATAAATACCACAACACCATTATTCTTCTTTACTCCCTCGCATTCTCGAACTCGTTATGCTTTTTGCCTTATAAAGCAATTCCGTAATTTTTTTTGAAATCGTTGGATTTACATAGGAGATAGTGTCTTTAAGTATATTTACATCATAATATTTAAGAATTAATTATTTGAGCGTATTTTGCTGGAGCCCGGTAACATTATTTCTTCTTTTTTACCTTTTATGAATTATATTTCAAGAATTTATAATTTCTTATATAACCCTATACTATGAAGAGATTTATTTTGTTAATCATAAAATAATAAGTAAAAGATCGTCGTCGAAGTAAGTTAACTCAAAAAAGACATGTTAAAAGGTTGCGTTATAATAAGACCTTAACGTATTTTATTATATTCACGCTAATTTAATAGTGAATAAACTTTTAAATTTGAAATCATCTATAATTATTCATAATTATTCTGTAAACTCTCGTATCGAGATCTTAAAAAAAACCACGTCCAAATACCACGTAAGAATTTGGAATAAGCGAAGAGTACAAAATCAGCGAAATATTATATTCTCAAACATACGTGACAAACCATTTTCTTTTAAATATAGGCACGCACAATTTAAAAAACATATTTTTCCAACAGCCAAATGTCTGTTATTAAATAGTTTCCTAAAAGTTTATATCATTTGAATAAAGAAGAGAATAAGTAATATCAGTTATGATTTTTTCTGTGACGAAGAAGATTACTACTTGTAGTGTAAGTTTTTCCACATCCTTCAAATTGACATGCGTATGCTAAAAAAGGCAATCTTTCGTTACTTATACTATGCCGAAGGCAATAACTATATGATTAATAGACTTACGTCTCTCCCCAGTATGAGAATTATAGTGTGTTTTTAACGCGCTCGGATACTGAAAGGCCTTTCCACAGAGAGTGCATGCATGCTGAGCGGAAGGGGTTTCAATTTGATAGGATTTTAAAGTTAAAGCACCTATCGAGTTCATTAAGCTTATATCGGTTAGATGACCCTTTAGGACAGGGTATTTGAAATCATCGATATTGAAAACCCAGCCTTGGTTATCAACATAGAAGGTTTCTCCTTGACTATTAGTATGGTACAGTTTATAGATAACTTGATTATTCATGTTGGAGGTGATAGGAAAATAGCAATAAATTATTTTGAATAGTCTCATTTGAAACTTTGAAATTTGGTGTTTATATAGATAAAAAATAAACGCATTTGCGCTTGTACATGTACAACTGATTTACAAAACTTTGCGCTTATTTCATGAGGAGAATTTCCTATTTTACAAACAATGGGATTACATATTTATATATAACCCATTTTGCACGAGAGTGTGAGTCAAGCGTTAGAAGATAAAATAACTTACACCCAAGAATAAAGTTCAAGGGAGAATTAATGTGGCGAAAGAGTTCATTTCCAACCTTGTCTATTAACCTTTGCACTTGAACTGGTTGTTGTTTGACCTCCATTTTTTAAACAGAAAGATGTTGACACATTCCTTAAATACGTTGTGATCATTTTGACTACCCAATTGGATGGCGGTAATAAACCTCCATGTTTGTTTCTTTGATTAATTGACTTATATAGTGATTTGTCAAAAAGAGTTTCTGAAAAAAATTTTCGATCGGAAGACTATTTATTTTATATCCACATTCTTGGGGGTTTTTTTTTTATAATCGTAATTATTTGTTTTCTCAGGCACATTGACGCTGTTCTATTTATTTTTATTTTATCATTTTCATTTTATTATTGTTATATTATTTGTTTTTGACATATTTTATTTTTATTTTATTCTTATTGTTTTTTTCCTTTGTTGTTTTTTTTTTTTTTATTATCTTAAGATCTATTTATATGAACTTGTTTTTATTACAGTTATGATGATATGATGAATTATATTATATTGCGGATTCTTTTTGAAAACGACAAAAATGTTATATATACGATTTTTTGATCCCTATTTTTTGAACAATGCATATACAATATAAATTCTAGGAGAACAATTATAAATTCTGAAAAATTTCTGTCCGCCTTCAAAAAGAATTACCCAAATACGGAAATGCTCAGGCATTATTTCATTCCGTGAGGCTCGGACCAAACTTTATAAATGTAATATTGGCAAATGGCGGGATACTATCGAGATATTTCGTTCAGAGGTTATTAATGCACTTTGGTCGATACGACAAAAAACTTATCGAATTAAATATTGCACATAATGTCGGGAAAATAGATCCTGATCGCATTCGAAATTTTAAAGAGAAGATTAAATCACCTTGGGCGAGTAATCTACCGATATCGGTGTTCACTTATTTAATCACAGAGGCATCAAATCAGCTAAATATCAAGGAGTTAGCTCCTAAGGGAAATGATATGGAACTTTTTCACTTCTTATCCGCCGGTCCTCACGTAATAAGCGAAGCTCCAGCTATTTTGAGTAAAAATAAAGTCCAAATTGAAGAGTTGATCCGTGAAATGAAGTTTATTCCTTTTCCACCACGGCCAAAACCCAAAAGAAGCGACTCTCATCATTTATCGACCAACGTACCGGAAGAGTATCCTCCTAAAGATGGCTACGAAAATAGTAGTCGGCAATTGTATGTGATTGCCCGAGCTATCTTAATCTGTAAAGATTTAGTGGTTTTGTGGAAAGAGGTTGGCTATTACCAAATATGCAGCGATGTAAATGACTTGGTCATGCAAGGAGCCCTCCTAATTCTTTTCCCGCCTATGCCATCGTGTGGTTATGTTCGTCCGAATGTAAATAGAGTGAACGAAAGACTTGAGGAATTAATCGAACTTGGCTTTGATTTAACGTATAATGTGATAGGAGATATCATGCAACTTTTTGAAAATAGATTATCAGATGTCGGCGGCATTTTTCTGGAATCTTTTGTTAAAATCAAAGGCATAACCGTCAAGGAGCTTCTAGAAAAAATTTTAATATAGTCAATTAAGCCAGAACGAAACTTGAAGAAGTTTGAACTATGAAATTTTTTGAATATTCATTTAGGAAAAATCTATGAAGATTTTAACGAAGAAGCGAAAAAATTAAGTAGTAAGATCGAATACCGAGAGGATGCATTCAGGAAAGCAATGACAGAATATATGGAACATACCAACGAATCGTCAAATATTGCCAACAATCCCGATAATGGAGATGATACCGAGGACGTCCCTAAAAAATTTTTAACTTCCTTGAAATTATTACCTAAATTTTACAGTTGGATTTTAAAAACATTTGGAGCGGATGCAGATACAACGAAAGCTTGCTTTGATGATATCCTTAGAACGCGTGTTAGTATTAATGAACAACTCATAAAAGATCTAAATTCTGAATTACCACCGAACGGATGGACAAAATGCTCATATAAGGCTACCGTTAACATTTGGAAGATCTTCTGTAATAGCGATGTGCCTTTCAAATACTGTATAACCACATGCAATATCTATCCTACGCAACTCACGATGAAGTCCTTGGTCCTTTGTTCAAAGGTTTTTTGCCGAAATTATTTAAGATGGAATCAACTATGACTTATTATCTCAGCGTAGAAGATCCGAATAACCAAGAGGATAATGATCAAAATGCTGAGGGCCAACATGAAGAAACAAGCGTAAACATTACGTTGCCTATCGATTGAAATTATACCACTTCGAAGTCAGATCACAAAATCCTCGAATAAGACGATCAAAATGACGAATTAATCATATCCTTAGTAATATAAATGACCACTTAATGACATCCAATGACGGAAAACTTGCTACAAATGAGTTTAAACAGTATTTGAGAGAATTCATGGATAAAATTGACGTATCTCAATTTAATAATAATAAGAGAAGACCATTTGATTTAGCATACCACCAGTCAAACAAAAAGCGGAGGAATAATATACTTGTCAATAATTCCAATACAGATTAATTTCGTATCAATTTTCATGCTTAATAAACTAAGAAAAAGTTTCAAAGACAAATCATGCGTTTTTCACATGTATTTTAATATTAGTAAATGTTTACATTTTTTATTTTGGTTTGATCAAACAAATTTATAATCGAAGAAATCCTTTATCATATTTAGGAATTTATTATTTTTATAGGGATATATTGATTATTTGTGGTTCCATAGATACGTGAAAACCTCGATGAACTTATTTCGTTTTTTCTATTTACACAGCTTATGTTTACATTCTTATGATTTTGCTATTTTTTTAAAACATTATTGACTTTGTTTTCTCGCGTTTTGATTACGCAAGAATAAGCGTGGTGGCGCATTAGTGTAACACAACAAAACAGTATTCAAGCAGATATAATTCAATTAGTAAGATGATAGATTTTTCCGAAACTACTTTATTGGTCGATATTGTATAATTTAAGTAACTCATTACCGTAATGATATACACATTCGGCAACCCATTGTAACATGAAGAAATGGGACGCGACGTTAGTCACATGACCGATCGTCGTAACAATGGGTAAGTCGGCTGTGATAATTAGGTAATAAAGGAAGGAAGGACGGGAAGGATTGTGAAAAGAATTATGTAATTTAGCTTTATCCATGTCGCTGTATCATCAATTATTATTATTTATAAGCCGCCATAGCCAAACGTAAGTTATAAATAACATGTAAAGTATAGAGGAGTAGAGGGAGAGACATGAAATTAGGAAGTAAAAATTAATAAAGACTCGGTCAAATAGAACACGCCTCAAATCATCCTTTCATTTATTTACCCAGTAACGGTTACGCGAATCTCTGCTAGAGTTAGCGACTGACTCGCCGTTACACCGTTACAATATGATAATGATTTTATTTGTAAAAGCAATATATATATGTCACGTGGAACTAGATCTTTAAATTTTATTTATGCGGGCAATTTCAACTACAACTCCAAATAATCAAGCGTTTTAATATCTATTATAAATTCCTGAAAAACTTCTATTTTTTGATAAGAAGAAGTGCAATGGTATTAATTGACTACACTTACAGTAGATATATAGTATAACGTGACTATTCTTCTCTTTATTTATGTTTTTTTTTGTGACGAAGGAGATTACTGTTTGTCGTGTAAATTTTTCCGCATCCTTCAACCTCACATTTATATTCTAAAAACATGTTTTTTCGTTAGTTTTTTTATCCTAAATGTATTAAGTAAAGATTTATTTAGACCTACGTTTTTCCCTAGTATGAGAGTTTTTATGAGTTTTTAACGCGCTCGGAGACTGAAATACTTTTTCACAGAAAATGCACTCGTGTCGTTTTGTAGGATTAGAAGATAAAACTTCAACCTGGTAGGAGTCTAAGATTAAAGTGCCTAACGAGTCCATTAAGCTTATATCGGTTAAATGACCAATTAGGGCGGGGCAGTTTAGATCATCTTTATTATAAACTCTGCCTTGATCGTCAATATAGAAAGTTTTTCCTAGACTATTAGTATAGTGTAATTTATAAATAATTTGATTGCTCATGGTAGAAGTGGTTAGAAAAATAGAAAGTCAATTAATGTTTAAAAATTGTGGTTTTCATGTAGTTTTATACCATTTTTTAATTTTTGGAATCTCCGCACTTTTTAGCCATAAACTATTGTGCAACATGGAATTTTTGCACTCTTTTACATTTTTTTTCGAAATAACATGCCATGTGCAACATGGAATTTTTGCCGGAATAACACGACTTTCGTGCAACATGGAAGTTTGCACAAAACCGGGTACGTAATGCCAAATTCCATGTTGTATGGAAATGTGCGACTATAGACATAGGAGAATGTGACCCACTCCCGTGCGACGTGGATTTTAGTGTGCTAATATCAATCCATTTTTTGTATAATATGCTAGCATCAAGTAATAACTTTTTGTATTGCATTATCTATTAATATAATACGTTTCAACAAGTACCTTGGATCAGTGGGACATTGCGCATCATTTACAATCACTCTTTCAATTGAAAAATAAAGTTTCTACGATATCAATTTCTGTGTTTCACAACCTATCACATACGAAATACGAAATTCTTTTAAGGTCGGTGAAAAAATCTTAAATTTTTTCTCAACCTATATTAAGGCGGTATATTGCGTGGTACTAGATTCCAATTGCGTAGCAGTTATAATGCTTTTATATAAAAATTTTTTGAACAATAACAGGCAAACGAGAGTAGTTTAAAAGAAGAAAAAAAAATTTTTTTTTTGTTGTTTCAAAAATCAATTACTTACTAATCAATCAATTGATTTTATTTAATAAAATTAAACACATCAATATAAAATTATCTATTCTAGTACTAAATATATAATTTAATACCCTTTTTATATTTTTAAAAACTATATATTATTGATAAATATATTAACTAATTTACAGATTTAATCGATCGAGTATAAAAAATAGAGTAAAATCAATTAACTCACAAATGCATATTCGCATATAAAGTATAAAAGTGACATCCACTCTTTTGTAACTTCAACAACAGTCATTACGTAAATAGTTTTAGTTTTTTTATTTTACTTTCATCTTGTGTGACGTGTGTATGTGCCGTTTGTCCTTCCTCAATTCACTAGCCGATAATTTTAATGCATTAAAAAAATATTTTTTGTATATTAACCTCCTGAATCTGACCCGCTCTGTTCTATCCGCACCACGTCAACAGAATTCGTGGATACGATCTATTTATCTATTATTTGAGTTAAATTATTGATTTTCCTTATTGGCAACACTATCCTCACTCCGCCTCATAAAGGGTATCTTTCATATCTCGCACTTTTTTTTTCCCGGTTACATCTTTCATTTCCTCACTTATTTTCTTCTTTTCACCACAATCGCAACTTATCTCTCTTAGCTTTAAATCATGTCTTCCAATGAAACATAGGCCGCTGCTGCCCAACAGCAAATGGTAATACCGCGTGGTTTTGGCCTCTTCGGCCTTGGTTTGGCTCATGATTCCTGTTGTTTGAATATTTCTGCAGTGGTACTGCCAGAAGCAAGAATTCCTTATCGCTAGTGATATCTCGGTTGCTATTGTATCATTCAGGTAAACCTTCGTTCCCTCTTCAAATATCACTTTAACATGACCTCAACGAAAAAACTTATTTAAACCGATCTTTGAATTTCAGTGGTGATTATAGGATTCAGTCTAACGTTTTGTCCATTGGTGGTTTCATTGGTAACTTGGATTATGTCTTCTTTCAAGGTGTCAACAGCACTGCTAGTAATTCAGCCGGCCCAGCAATAGCCCCAACCGGTACCCCTATCATCGCTTTCGCTATCTTCCAGTACATGTTTGCCGCAATCACTCCATCCCCGGCAATTGGATCTGTCGCCGAACGTGGTCTTATTGGACCGACTATCTTATTCATTTTCATCTGGTCAACTATCCTACGATCCAATTGCTTGTGGCCAATAGCCGTGCGGGCCTTGGCCTGTGTCATAACTAATTTGGCTGCATCCGTTGGTGGAATCACCTGGGTTCTGCTTGATTTCAAATTGGTAAGAAATGGACGACTCTCGGTTTCTGTTGCTGGTTTGGTGGCCATTACCCTTGGGGTACCGGTTGGGGCTATTGCTGGGCCGGCTGAATTACTAGCAGTGCTGTTTCTGTTGCTGGTTTGGTGGCCATTACCCTTGGTTTTGGTTTCGTTGGTGTCCCTGTATCTGTAGCTATTGGCCTCCTAGGCTCCATATGCTGGAATATTGCTGTCAAATTGAAGCATTGACGATGCTTTGGATTTGCTTGTCGTTCATGGTGATGGGAGACTCTTTATTGATTAAAAAATATTTAATTATATAAAAAAATATATTTATAATTTTTTTATAATTTTTATATTATCAATAAAAATATTGAAAATAAAAA